AAAATGTTAAAAAATAATAATATAAATAAGTAAATAAATAAGTAAAAATTTTTTTAAAAAAATTATAGGGTGAGCTTCACAAAACCTAGGTTTGGAAGTTTCAGTGTATGACCACAAGAGAATCAAAGTCATCTTAATTCAATTTGAGGCAAGTTTTATAAATGGGAAAATGAGCTCTTCGAAATTTTGTAAATATTAAATGAAATACTATATATCAAATACATAGCACAAAGCTAGCATATTCAAGTTCCCTGCCCAAAATGTCCTTATTTGAAACAAACTTAACAATAATTTGCACATTAAAGCAATCCTTCTGAGACATGGGGCATTCATCTGAAATTTCAGGTGAATATTGTCAGGTTATTCTAAAGCTCTGGCAATCAATCTCTATGGCTAGAGGAAAGAGGTATGAACACATTTTCATATATATACTTGAGCAGTACAAACATTACTGAGTATCAGAATCATAAGTAAGTACACAGATTTCAGGACCCTATTTAGCAATTTGGGGTTGTGGTCCAAGCAACTGCATTTCTAAAAAGCTCCAGGTGATGCTAATATTATTGATCTAGGCACACTTTGAGAACCACTGATTAAGAAATCAAAAAGCAATTTATTTCTGTGATTTTTCTTTTAAATCCTGAAAAATTTCAGGTGAAATTGTTTTATCCAACAACAACAAATGCTAATTTTAATAAATGGTTCAAGCTGTTTTTGCTAGGAATAATCAACTTTAGGTTCCAAACATTTTTTAGGGACATTCAGACATCCATGTCCTGAATACTAAAACACTTAATTTATATAGAAATAGAGTATTCATATTTGTCCATATAGTCAAATAGAGTCAAATAGAGTCATATTGTCAAATAGAGTCAACAAATATTTAGTGTTTCTACTGTATGCCCAGCACACAGATTCCAATCCCAACCTCTTGTTATGGGACAAAGCAGATTCATACGGTTCTTACAGAGTTAAATATCAGGTCAAATTTAAAGGCTCACCTAGATACACAAGTACCTGGGATGTTTAATAAAAGAATCCCTTTCCCACCCCTGACATCTACCGTGACTACTGAAAGTTGTTGAAAATAATCACCTTCCCAGGCATCATCAGTGCATGCTCATGTGAAGGTCAAAGAGCATCATACTCAAAAACTGTACTCAGATATATACAGAATCTTGGTGATTGATGGAGCAATATAATAAAGATAAATGGATATTAGTTTCCATTAAAAAAAAAGAGCTATACACACTTAAAAATCTTATCTAGTCATGCAGTCATCTTTAGTTGCTGCAACTCTAAATACAATTCAACCTTCTATTTTTAACATCTCTGCCTGTTTTGGCAAAGAAACAATTTAAAATAAAGAGCTGTGAGCTGTCTTGAGGAGGATTATTTGTAAGGCACTCTTAATATATGATTTCCATAGAGTTGCTAATTGTTCCTTACTTTAAAATTCATTCTTCTGAGAATGAAATGCATTTGGTAATGTAAATATCAACCAGGCAGAGGATGGTGCTCTGCATTAGCATCCACATTATTATTCAGTCATAATTAATACACTTCTAAAATAAAGTGTTGACAGCACTCGTATTCAAATATATAGCATATGTTTATAGTCTCACACATTGAGGTACACACATAATTACAATATATGTGTGAGAGAAATTGCAAAGGCAGTCCAAGAAGCCGAGCTTACGCTAATTGAAAACCGCCACTGTCCAATTAAAGCGGACATGGGGTGGAAACACCGTCAAATGCCTATCAGACATGGACAGGCTGATTAAATAGCAAGACAAAACACAATAAAAAGAGCAAGGAAGTTTTTTTGTTGTTCTTCCTGTTTTAATAGAACCTCAAGGAGCTAATGGCAATCAGGAGACTCATAGTTTTTCCTTATCCCAGTAAGGATAAAATCTCAATGGAATAATGTATTATTATAGAGAGCACTGAATAGCTCAAAATCAAAAGGCTCACCTTTCACCAAACGAAGCCACCGTTTGGAGGAGAATAATTATTTCTACTTGTTAGGCATGTGCTTTTGATGGTTTTAGTTACAGAAAGAAAATAATGTGATATTACATTACCTTTGTTTTATTTTTATTTTTTCTTCATTTGACCTCATTAGGAAACAATTAGTGCATCTTGCCTAATTACAGAGGAATTATCCCATATGTATTTCAAAGCATCATAAAACATAAATTTTAAAAGGATTTTCTTCTAGGGCGCCTGGGTGGCTCAGTTGTTAAGCGTCTGCCTGTGGCTCAGGTCATGATCCCGGGGTCCTGGGATCGAGGCCCGCATCGGGCTCCCTGCTCCACAGGAGGCCTGCTTCTCCCTCTCCCACTCCCCCGGCTTGTGTTCCCTCTCTCGCTCTCTCTCTCTCTGTCAAATAAATAAATTAAAAAAATTTAAAAAAAAATAAATTTAAAAGGATTTTCTTCTACAAAAGTGCAATATACTGTTCCTTAGAGGAGATATATGTCATGAAATGAAATGTAAAAAATAAGACTCACAGTAAGTAACTGTTTACCCCATAAATGATTTGGCTTTTGAAGTATTCTTAGTGGAGGGGGGTTGCTGCTGCAAAGCAGCACAAAATCTCTAACATTATTATGTCAAAGATGACTGTTACCAGGATCAGGTCAGGTCTTGGCAGAATAAGTTGAATATATAGAACCTACCATGTGTTCTAATTGATTAACATGTGCATTTCATCCTTACTCGCCATGATGGTTTTCGTTATTCACATTTTATAGATGAGAAATCTGAAACACAGAGTAGTTAAATCACCTACTGCAGGACACACAAGCTGGTAAGAAGCAGAATCATGGAGTTCTGGGCTTGAATTCCAAAGGTACGAGTGCTTGTGTGTGCATGTATACATTTCTTTCCAGTCATTTTTCTCCATTTCAAATAAATATTCTATTCTTTTTATCCTGAATTCTGTTGGTATCTCCTCGGAAGTAGAAAAAAAAAATCTATGCCCTAAATATGAGAAGAAGGAAATAGAATGAACACTTATTGAAAATTGATCCTTTGGTAGATTATTTAAATCAGAAGACAAACAGGAGAACAGATATTTGAACCCAAGTATGCCTGATGTCAGCCCACTAATTTCCAATACTTCACATTCCTTTCCAAAGTCTTCATACTAATTTATAGACAGTTTTGCTTCCTGTCTTTGTTACATCTTCCAAATTAACACCCTGATCTGTGTCCTTGTTAGCTATCTCTTCTAAAGGGTCAACTCCTGAATTTACCAAACAGATGAAAACCATTAGGTGGTAGAAGGACTTTTTATGTCCTTAGGTTTCTGTGACACCTGACAGATGGAACATATGCCCACAAATTACCCAGCATTTAAACAATTGTTGGCTGTGCAATAGGAATCACCAGGATGCAGTGTGTTCACTCACAAGGAAGCATTATTAAAGGATCCATAATTTTAATTTAATAGATTCCACTATTTCTTTTGTGAGCTCACATAAGTCTCATTAATAGTAATAGCAACTATAGTAGACACACTGGAAACTGGCATCAAAGGTGTGCTGAGTTAATGGTGAGATTGGAGGGGAAAATGGCTACAAAAGGTCTCATTTGTTATGCACTTTTTATTTCAAGTGGCTAATTACTGCCATCGAACTCTGCCATTAATATCTTTTATGACAATTTCAAGGATAAAGACCAAAAAAAAAAAAAAAAACAACAGATGCATTAGAAGGCATTGCATGAGCACCTGTGGTCTGAGTGCCTCACCATTTAGCCTTGCCATGCAATTCAACAACATGGTATAGCAGAAAGAATATGGCTTTTGAAGTCAGTCCTCAACCCCAACATTGGCTTTGTGATTAAACATCATATGACTTTAAACAAATCATTTTACTTATCTTACCCTCACAGTAGCAACAATAGTACCTCAGAGTCAGTGTGAGATTTATATTAAATAGAAGTATGTCTGTTAACTGTTGGTGGGAATGCAAGTTGGTACAGCCACTTTGGAAAACAGTGTGGAGGTGCCTCAAAAATTTAAAAATAGAGCTACCCTATGACCCAGCAATTGCACTCCTGGGTATTTACCCCAAAGACACAGATGGAGTGAAAAGAAGGGCCATATGCACCCCAATGTTCATAGCAGCAATGTCCGCAATAGCCAAACTGTGGAAAGAGCCGAGATGCCCTTCAACAGATGAATGGATAAAGAAGATGTGGTCCATATATACAATGGAATACTACTCAGCCATCAGAAAAGATGAATACCCAACTTTTACATCAACATGGATGGGACTGGAGGAGATTATGCTAAGTGAAATAAGTCAAGCAGAGAAAGTCAATTATCATATGGTTTCACTTATTTGTGGAACATAAGGAATAGCATGGAGGACATTAGGAGAAGGAAGGGAAAAATGGGGGGGGGATTGGAGGAAGAGATGAACCATGAGACACTATGGACTCTGGGAAACAAACAGGGTTTTAGAGGGGAGGGGGGAGGGGGGATTGGTTAGCCCAGTGATGGGTATTAAGGAGGGCACGTACTGCATGGAGCACTGGGTGTTATACGAAAACAATGGATTGTGGATCACCACATCAAAAACCAATGATGTATTGTATGGTGACTAACATAACATAATAAAATTTAAAAAAAAAAAAAAGAAGATGTCTGTTAACTGACAATAGTATGTGTGGAAGGTACAGGTGAAGGTCTGGATTCACCAAACATTATTTCTACTTGTACCTATCTTTAATTAAACACACACATATATGTGCATGCACACACACACACACAAATGCTAAATCACAGGCATTATGTATATATAAATATATGGCACAACCCTGGGCCAGGGGCAGAGTCCGTGGCAATATATCAGGAGAGGCAATATCTCAGGACATGGAGAGTGAGGAACCATGTGGACCTACATGGCCCAAAGCATAAGGCTGAAACCTCAAATTTACCAACTTTAAATGGTTTTTGTTTTGTTTTGTTTTTTTTATGTAAGACATGGTTTGACAAGAAGGCAAGGCAATTTAAAACTATGTGAAAATCGTTGCCCTGAATACTCTAATCCCTATGACTAAATAAACTCTACAGACACACTTAAAGAGGTTCAAGAGCAGTACACTCCCCACGACGACTCCTTCCCCTTCAGTAGAGTTAGCAGAGTTCATTCCAATGAATTGTACTTTACATGCAATAGTGGCACTTCTCTGACCTACATTAAGCAATGTTAGAAATTAGCCTTATGAAACACCTCCGTGTGATGTTACATGGCTAGCGTTGGGGATGCTGCTCATTCCATTGCCTAATGTCCTTCAGGGAGAAAATGGTGAGGTATAAATAACTATTCGCAACACTGAGCCAGTAACCAAATTTCTTCCGATGAACTGGTCTGTTTTATCTTAAGGATGCTCTGATTTGTACTAGTAATCAGCTTCTATACTTCACAATGGATAAAAGGAAGCCGAGAGTCAACCTGTTGGCCCCACCACTGACAAATCTACTATGCAATTTTACGGATTGGCTAAACTAACTATTTTGCCCCCATTTGTCTTCCATTTTTCTAACTTGGTTCTCAACTATTACTAGTTTATGAAGGTCTGTCATTGCTTTTAGGTTATGTTTTGGTTTTCTTTCCTTTAGATTTGTATTTTCATCTATGGTAAGCTTTAATATGGTTAGGCGAATACAGTAAACTTGCTTTTGAGATATTCAAATACATACACACCACATGCATAAGCTATTACACATCACAAATGTTTCATTGATAATTCTGTTTCTTTTATCAGGAACCTGGTCAGCTCAAAAAATGGCAAGACAGCTTGTTCTTATTATGACTCTCGACTGTCCCTCGTAACTCCATCTGTTGTGTTCCTGCACACCTCTCCTCCATTACTCCCTGTTATCTCTTGTCCACCTCTAATGAAGACAGACTGCACACACAATGAGTGGCCTCATTCTCTGATTCCACCCCAATATTAATGAACCTAATAACAGTCGATAGGAAAGGCTTAGCATCCTTTTGAATGAGCAAATGAAATAGCATTGTATTTTAGCAACTCTATGAAGGTCTGTGATATGACTTCTCTGAAGATGTTCAAGGTACAGGTGCTGTTGTAGAAGAGTCACTTCATCAAAATATCCTTTCTCTGTCTACACTCTAAGAGGCAGACATATTTGGGGCCAAGATGGCACCTGGCAGACTTAGAAAAGGGACATCTATGAAGAAGCAGAACAGTTTTTGGAGCTCTATGCATCAGAGAGTTCTTTAACAGGGCTTACAGATTGGTTTTTTTGTTTGCTTTGCTTTTTTCTTTTCAGATTTTTACCTGTTGTCAGTTACTGTACTATGTGCTATGTAGTATGTACAAACTCAAACAACTTGAGCCTTAGTTTCTAAATGGGTATAGTGGGGCTAAGGTTATACATCTAGTTGACTTGATATCAAAGAGCCTGCCACCCTGATTCCAAACTCTTGCTCTTAACCAAGTGACTACAACAAACACTTTCTGAGCTACGTATTTTCATTCCCAACTATCTCACCAGCTGGTGGTTCACCCATATAGACTAGAGACTCTTGGGAAGAAACCTATTGTATTGAGCTTGCCAGTAGAGATTTCCAATAAGTCCACCAACAGGAAAGATCTAATCAAAAGCACACGTTCTTTTTTAACAAGAAGGGAATCAATTAATCAATAAATACATAAAAAACTATGTCAATTACATGACTCAGACAAAAGCTAACATGCAATAAAGTGTAATCATAGGTCAGCTTAGTATCTGAAAAGCCCTTTGCCCAGTGGCTGTGTTCAACAACAAACACATGCCTATCACTATATGCCTATATACTATAGGGCTAGTTTTTAAATAGAAGGGCAGTCATTAATCATTTTATATCACAATGGTGATTACAAATGAGTGCTGAAAAACAACTGCTTACTTAAATATGTTTTATGTAGAACCAAGAACCAAGGAAAATGTTTAAAGCAAAAAAAAAAATGCGTGAATAGTGAAAGTAAAAATCACTACTGTGAAATAGCTAAAATGAGAGAAGACATACACACATATATATTTTACATAGATATTTTTAAATGAGAAATTCATTTTTATTACATTTAAATGCATATCATCTTTAGGTGTAAGTTAACCAACTGTTGCTAGGACTTATTGCAATTTGAGAATTGAGGATTAAAATGCTTTGTAATTAGCACATTAAGTCACTGACCTTTGCTTACAGTACAATTAGATTGCCTATTCGTCAATGCACTTTTGAAACATGTTTAAAACCAGCTTATTTCTTTAATGCCAAAAGGAATGTGAGTTTACAACCCTGCAATGACCTTTGGAATTCTGTATTCATCATTCACAAACCTTAGGAGACCCTTGCTTTGAGCTTAGAATATTTATTGAGAACTGTGTGGACCTTTTATTCCATAAATATAAACCATAAACTCTTTCTTGATCCTGGTAAAATAATGTCCAGATTTAAAATAACAACTAAAGCAAGACTTTGTACTGTATCATTCCTTTCTCTGTGGACCATTAAGGATTTTCTAGCTACAATTCTGTCTAGTTAAGAAAAGTGGTCTCTAGGTATTTGACTGCAACAAAACAAAACAAAACAGAAGGCCCTAAATGTCACCCTCAATGAAATTCCTGATGTTATTCTTCATTACTTGGCTTGAATAGCCCAAGAGACAAACTGCAAGCTTTCAAAAGAGCCTGATTTGCTACCTGCTGGGCCTGACTAGCTAAATGTACATCTAACCACAC